TCACAAAGTCCCCAAGCCACAAATTGTTGGGGAGTAGCCTGGAGAAACATTACTACAGGATCGCCCTTTTCTTATACTCTTCCCTCAGCATCTGCTATTAGTTCTTGTCACAGACAAGATCCCAGAGTAGCTTGACCCTTTACACTGACCAAGTGCCTTTCTCACACTGCCCACTTTTTCACATGAGACAGTACAAAACCCTGTTAATTCTGAAGAGCAATTAGCCCTGGAACAAGCCACCTGCAGAACAACAGCAGCCCTTTACTGAATACTTGAAAGCACAAGGGCAGTTTAATATACTTGATCCACTGTTTAAAAAAAGAAGAAAAAAAGAACAAAGGGATAGACAACAAGATTACAAAGTTCAGTATGGGCCAGCCACTCTACACACTCCACCATTTAAATGGGGGTTTTACTACAAAAGAAATTAATAAGACAACTGCAAATTCTCACTTCAGATACACATAAAATTTCCAATGCTGTCAACAGTCAGGTCACACACAGAGACGTGTGCTCAGCACAAAGTCTGACACCTCAGATTCCATCTTGTAATTAGAAAACTGAACTGTGTCTGGTAATCCTCTGTTAGGAGTAAAACTCTATTGCAACCGATAGCAGAAGCCTTCACATTTGCGAATCTTACTTATAGCTGACACAGGCACATTTGATTCAGTTTGAAAGATGCTCCATTATCTGTAATTCTCAAAATTTGCTTCCATTCCACCACTGTTTCATTTCTGTCACAAAGACATACAGTTAAAAAAGGGACAAGTAAAGGGACAAAAATCTTCTCATAGATCTCCGCTCCCATTTAAGCTGTGTTAGATGGGTCTAACACTGTGAAAATTGGTCCGTGGTGGACCATCAAGATAGAAAGCATGTATGTATTTGTATTAGACAGGTCTAACACTGGAATTGGTCCGTGGTGGACCACCCTGATCATCTAGACTGAGTGTGCACGGCAAAGAGCCAACAAGGCCACTCCTCCCGGCGCAGGCTGGCCCCCTGCGTTGGGATGAGTTGGCACTTCTCGGCATGTAAAAGGCCTGGGGTTCGAGACAGATCGGGAAGGGGGTGGATCCAGCTACCTTTTATGGTTACCTTACCTCCGTGGGGATGCCTGCAGAAGTATGTGCCTGACACCCCATTTCTACACAATGCACCTTGGAGCTGGCCTCCTGGTCATTGGACAAGTGTGTGGGTTAGTAAGGATCTGTGCCTTATCTATTCTTTGGTAGCCTTTAGTTATCTCTCTTTCTGACTTGTTATATCTCTGGATCTTGTAACAAACTTTCTAGCAGTTTGGGGGGTGTGTGTGTGTGACTTATGTTCCTTCTCCGCCCGGAATCCTTCGATCCCTGGAACATAAGCCTTTACTAAATCTTTAGCTGTGAAGTTAAGTGAGGTAAAAGATGTAGTGTTAGACTGCAATCCAACCTAAGAAGCAAACACCGTCACTGGAGTGCCTTCCAGGTAGCACAGGAGGAGAAGAAATTATTTAACCCTCTGTAATTACTTGCTTCTTTACAACTTCACAGAGCTGCTAATTGGAAATGGAATAGGGAAAATGCATTTACTGTTAGCTCTGCTTTTTGCAAAGAATTTTGACTGCTGATTGCCTTTGGCATAACCATTATTTCGTATGGATTTCCTGCTTAACATGTTTCAAGAAGTTAAAAGCTCTAAGAAGTAAATGTTCTGCTTTCACAAAAATCCCTTTTTAAGGTAACAAGCCAAAGAACACAGGAGACAGCACTTGGACTTCAGCATGCTCAATATATTAACACAACTCTTCAGTGGTAAAGCACGCTTCAGTGTGTTCATATATATTATTTTAAATGCAACAATAAATTACGATTGCCAAGAAATGTGTCAGGTTCTTGAAGGAATCTACAGTGTGCACACACAGCCCTTTCAAATGACATAATTATGAGGAAATCTGATTATAAAAGACTATTTATATGTAGATGGCACCTGGCTGTCAAATCAAGGGAGGTCATGCTTCGTGTGCTGTATGCTGTCAGCCATATTCTTCTGCAGGGAGAATATTAAATAAATCAAAACAAATGACCTGATGGCTGTTATACATAGATGTGATGAGAGGCAGAGAAAGCAAGTGAGCCCAGGTGTTCATATGTGCAGCTTTTAAGACTGCATTAAGTAAGACCATAAGAAATCAGTTAAGTTGTTTGTAGAAAATCTGTTTGTTCGAAACTTGCTCCAAAAAGTCATCCTTTGCTCATGTCCATGTCTAATGTCAAGGCTGTAATTTCCCACTGTACCATCTTTACCAATAATGTAAAGGTGAGCAACCCTGAGCCTCACACCAGCAACACTGATACTGGGCTGATACAGCTGCTGGGAGATAAACGCTGTAAACTGCATCGCCACAACACAAACAGCAAACAGGAGTCCCTAAAAAGGGTTGGGTTTTGACCCAAGTGGACTCATGAGCTGGTTGACAACATGACCACAAAAACCTGTGTTGACGCAGCTGATGGGTGGAAATGAACAGTTAATGATGGATGGGGTTTCTTAGACTGGTTTGATCACCAAGACCTGTGTATCATAAAACGAGGTCCCAAGTGAGCCGCCAAACTTTTGCTAAGGACTGTAGCAAAGAAGTAAAGAGCTGGCAACTTTTCCAAATGTGAAATCTGGAACCTATTTTAGCAGCAGTGCAAAGCACTCAGGCTGCTACTGACTTAATCCAAAACAGTGAGGACAGATAATTTGTGTCCTAAATTTTGTAATTTTTCCAGGTTGGTATCATAGCCATACACATTGTAAACTAAGATTGGATCCCATGGGAAAAGTCAAGGAGTATCATTTCTGGGATACACAACATCAGATCGTGAGATACTGGTAGATGAGTTCATAGAAAAATATTACTGGAACATACATTTAGGCAGTCGGAACAATTAGCGAGGAACAAAAAATATCTGGGCACTTTGTGAACTCAAGAATCTCAAGTCCAAGATGAGGAAGACTTCTTTTTTAGAAGCATGGACAATGCTTCAAATGCAATTTACCCAAAGCAGTTGTTCTAGACTTGAGAAGAAAAATTGCTTACCACAAAGAAAATAAAACAGAGTTCCATCATCTCAGCCTAACCTTTTCAGGTTACAGAAGAATACACTCTGCCGCTAAGAGGAGGCTTAGCTTCTGAATACACTATGATACACCCTTTTTTTTACTTTTACAAGTTCCCGAAGACATCATCCATTCAGCTTCCAGTCACACAAAACTAAGGGCAAAGAACACAGTGTTACTGGTTAATGAAGAATGGCAAAACATTTTCTTCCCCAAATCTATGTGTGAGGGAGAAGACAGGCATTATATTGTGAAAGAACAGTGTAAGTCACATACTCCCTTCTCTATCAATTGATATTTACCTCTTTAGTCTGTGAAAAAATCCACATATTTAACAGTGTTCATACAAAATCACTACTAGAAGAGAGGAAGGTTGAAAGAAAGCACTTGTTTTCTGACATATAGTCAAGATTTCCATCCTAACTTGCTGACCTTCATTAGCTTCCCTACTTCCCACCCTAGGAAAAGATATTGCTCCAAACCACTTGCATCTAACCCCGCCTTTATCCTACAGAATCAGCAAGAGACAATAAATTTCCTAAAGAACTGATGAGGTGCTTTGTGACTGGGAATGTATCCAGGTCCAAGCAGAGTATTCCACACAAAGAGGCGGATCTCTCACCATTTGAGACGTAAGACCTTTCCTTCATCTTGTGTCAGAGGGCTGAAGGAAGAGAAGGCAGTGAAACCACTAACCAGCTCCTCTGTGGGGTGAGCACTGGTTTGCTGCTCCTCATAACACCACCACAGAGAAAAAACCAACCCACGTAACACCAAATGTCCAGCTTCAGTGTCAACTAAGTTACAAGATACACCTTAGGAAATACATAATTCTTGTCCTCTCATGGATTCTTGATCACACAGGTTATAGTTGTGATCTAAGGGAAAATGACAGAACAATAGGCAAAAGCAAGTATGCTGTTTAAACAAAATACTGTGTGTTGTTAAGTACTCAGACAATTTTGCTGTAAGAAAATTACTTCAGGACATAAACAAAAATGTACAATCAAACATTACATCAAATGAAACAATTATATTAAGGTTCAGTTTACAAAAGGTTAACAAATAATTAATAGCTGGTTTAATAAATAGGTATTTACTTCTCATCTATTACCAGTCCAACAGATAGCTTCTAGCTGTCTATAGTACTTTCTACTGGTGTGCCTATAACCCTCCCTAACACATACTACACATTTCTCTAATACGAATTACAACTTGTAGAAATCATTTATTAACCCTTCATAAAATTCTAAGTAAACCTTAATATGAAGCATGACTACACTATTTCAGCCCCATAGCCCAGGACACATTAAATACTAGCTCTTTCAAGTTTTTATTTAAAATCCTACATTTTAGTTGGGAGCCACATCACTAGCCACAGAATCACAAATGCTTACGGTGGCTTAGCCAACACACTGCAGACACAGGAAGTGAAACAAAAATGGTGGGGGAAGATCACAGGGAACAGTTCAGGTTCTTCCAAAAGAAATGTCCTGGCTTTTCTGTTGGAATAAACATTGATACCACAACAACAGAATCAGAGAGCAAAAAAACCCGGAGTCTGATGTAATTCAAGACATTGTTTTTTCTTTCTTTTCAGAAACAAAAAACCACAATACATTATAATATAAATAAATAAAACAGAAAACACAAAGGTAAATTCCAACCCCCCCGCTAGGATCTTAAAGAGGGAACAGCCAACTATTTCTCAAATGTAGGCTAAACTTCTCTTACCTCAAATTTTCAATATACTTAGAAGTGTCCTATGTAGTGTATCACACTTAGGGAAAAAGATGTATTATATTTAGGTCTCCTTTTTTTCCACCCAGTATTTTCATCTTCAAACCCCCACCTTAATTTTTTCCATCAAATTGCCTGCTGATGGTTTAACAAAGTTCAGCTCAGACTTACACTTTTCCTTCACTTTCAGAGCCTCTGTCTTCATTCTTATAGTCCTCTACCAGGTCTTCACACTCCTGTGTCTTCTCTTCCTCCTCCTCCTCATCTCCAAAAGTCTCTTCTTGCATTGTAGTAAAAGTGAAAGACCTGGCAGCAACTTGTGCAGCCAGGCCAGATGTGAAGTTTAAATCTGTTGATATGTGGAGGTGGGCCAGCCTATGCTTGATTTTTGAATGTAATGCATCCTCAGAGGGAGACTGTGAAACCTCTACTCCATCCATATTGCTCAGCTCGAGTTCTTCAACTTCCCCTTCATGCTGATAACACGTTCTTTCTTCAGCCCCTGTAGAAATACCTTCAGCAGCAGTACTGTCTTTTTTTCTCTCCATCTCAGGATCTTCATACAAATATTCTGTCCTGCTTTTATCAGCAGCATTCTCTTTTGTATTAGAGTCTTTGTCTTCAGATTTATCACAACTTTGGCTGCAGTCCTGCTTTTCTGTATCTGAATTCATATGTGATTCCAAATTATTTAGTAGCTTCAGCGGCTCTACAGGAGACAAGGGTTTCACTGCAGCTTAAAAAGGGGGGAAAAAAATTAAATGATAACTAAAAGAAAGCGGCTATATCTAAATAATTTATTTGTGTCTGCAGAAGATGCAAGATTGTAAGGGTCAAAATGGCTTAAAAAAATTCCCAAAACAACAGAAACAAAAAAACACAATAAAAAAAAAGTAAAACAGAAGTGTTTCCTAGAAATCACACAGCTGAAATGAGATGTGATTGCTACTTGTTGTAACTACTCCTTAAAATCAGTGACATAAAGAGACAGCACAAAATTGATGATGATTAAAACTGTCATCAAACACAGATGATGCATCAATGTTAAAGTGAAAGCCAACTGCACTGTATACAGATTTGAACCATCTTTGTTTTAAACAACAGTTTACCTAGTCCAATAAAGACAGGTAGTACATGAAAAAGTCTTTATAGGCAATATCTGATCTCATACACCACAACATTTAAGTACAACACTTATTCATACAGTCAGGTAAGGTGTCCTCACAAATAAAGTGTGGTTTAATTTAGCCTCTCTTGAAGTTAGTAGCAGCAGCGAGCCCCATTGCCAGCAACGGGATGCTTGCCAGGAAGTCTCTCCTCCCAGTGTTAAGGGTTAGTACAACTCGGTACAATCACTTCTTGAAGAACAGACGTCTTTCTTTTTAAGGAAACGATATAATGTCCATTTCCAAGTAACAGATTCCCTAAACTGCAGTAGCTCCATTAGAGTAGCAGCACGAACATAAATGAGAGCGGCAACAGCAGATTCCCAAGTAGCATTTCCCTTTCTAATTCCATTCTGACTTTACCCCTGTAAGCAGAGATGAAAATAACTCTGGGAAATACACAAACTTTTGACGGGAAACAAAATTTACGATATTAGGATTTTTCCATCGCATCCTATTTCAGCAATCTTTACTTTAGCCAGCTGAAGGTAGGCGCATCATTAGGGTTGTCACACCGATAATTACTGCCATTAGCACACTGAAAGGCTGTGGCTTCAAATTTGTATCTTACTGTTTGTATTAAAACCTTCTATATGGAAGGAGCACAGCACCAGACTCATCTCAGTTGTTAATGGGGTAGTTCTTCCCCATTTTGTAAAACACATGCTGCTGCTTATTTCTACCCATTTGCTTGAAGAGGCAGGAATATGCACAGCAATACTTGCTTATCATTTGGAAGCAAACTTGTTGCCTGCTTCCTCCAAACGATACTTCCAAAGCCAAAACTTCATGAAAAATAAGTAGATACTTCAGATTGGTAGCTGGTCAGTTTGCTGAATGATTAGTTAACATGCAATAATCAATTCTCAGAGTGTGGCTTTCCAAATCTGAGAAACAGCTGTACAAGAACCGTTGTATGGACAAGGTGGGACAAGGGGAAACATCTGGGTGCAATGCAACCACTGACGGAACGAACTTTTCTGGGGAGAGAGGTTAGGGGAAAGGCTTGAAGTGATTCTGCACCAGAAGAAAGTTTTTTTACGATGTTTGACAAATGAAAATGAAGTTGCTAACAACTTCACGTACCTCCTCAAGAGCACTTCCATTTTACTGCTTCAACAGGATGCCAAATGACCAAAAATGTAAGCTCACCTACGCTCCCATAAATCACCTACTGCCCAGACTGTAAGCAGTATCACCATACTGCTGGTCCTGGGCAAATTTGCTTTAGTTTGGTGCTCTGCTAAGGTGGTGTGTTTCTTCTGGAAGCCAACCTATCATCTCCAGTTGAGTTTATGCTGTGTTCTTTAGACATATTAAATTGTTTGGAGCTGACCTCTTTCATGTGGAAACCCTCACCAGCCTCTCCTTCAACTAACCAAATAACCTAACAAATCAAAACGGCTTGCTGGGACACTTGATTAATGTGCGTAACAGATTCAAGCCTTTGAGTATTTCAGGATCTTTATTGACAATAATCACAAGTTAAGAGAACACAGGGTTTCTGGAATGCGATTGTCCTGTAAAAGCAAGGTTTAAGAGGGCTATGGAAATAGTGTGGTATCACAGCCACCTATTGGCTTGGGCCAGTGGAGACAAGAAGATGAACTATTCTGGGTTTAAGTGTTGAAGATAAAGCAAGCCACAAATGTGGAAAGCACAGATCACAAAAATGTTTCTTTAAGGAATGACTCTTGCATATGGGTAAATTAAAGTCTGCAGCAGTAATATGCCAGGGTCCATTACGTCATATTTAACTGACTTGTGTTTCTTTTGAAGAAATAATGAAGAAATTCCTTAAAAATCAGTAGAAGACGTTATGTCTGCTGTCCGTATCAGTCCTTCAGATTAGACACACAGAGTCTCCGAGCCAAAAGGAGACAGTATTAACTACTTTTATGAACCATCCTCATGTTTTCCAGTTTTGTACAGGATGGAAGTAATCAATGTTTAGTCCTAGGCAGCTGGAGGAAATCACACTTTCCTCCCTCCCCACCATTAAATCTCTAATTCTAAAACAATGGAATATCTATACATGGAAAGGAAAGGAACCAACATGAGCCCCAAAGGCTTTCAGGTGAACAATTACTGAAGACTACAGGACTCTTTCCAGAGCCCTGTAGTCCATTCCACAAATGGCCTGAGGACACACTGATGTGGACAGGTACCAGCTGCTAACCTAGATAAAGAAATGTACTAGAGAAGCTTTCCTGACAAGAACTCTCTTTGCAGCAGCCACTAGATCTGTCAAGACTTGAACTGGAGGTAGGATTCCTTCCTTCTCTC